CGGTGAAGTGACAGTGGTCGGCCACCTTAGTTTTTGCTGGGTCTTTGTTGTCAAACTTGCCATTACATAAGAAACAATGCTTGGCCTTCTTGTGTTCTTCTTTCTGCTTAGTTGTCCATTGTATTGGTTTATTTTCTTTCATCTTCTCCATAATTTCTTTCTTGATCTTGTTTATTGTTATACAGAACCTTTCCATACAATCTTCGCCCCTGTATAAATAAGGCGTTGCTTCGTTGGTTATGCTATTAACAACATTCAACATAAAACCACAAGGCTGGTGATGTTGATAAGTGCCTTTTATTCCTTCCGTTGTTGGCGTTGTTAAGCACTCAAAGTCTCCATATATAACATAAGGACATTTTAACTTCTTGTAGTGATTTTTGATGAACATCTTTTCGTCTTCCTCGGGCATCTTCGTTTGTTGAACTTCGTTCGCCATACATCCATCCAACAAATGTTTATTTAAAAGGGTCTCCTTATTGAAACCCCACTGACAATAACGACAATGAAATAATTTCTCATTGTGTTTGTTGGTTTGTGCTCCCATAAGACGACTATAGTCTTTTATTAAGACATAATGCTTATAATTATCTCGTTCTAAAAGCAATAAATTAATGTGACACGATGGCTTACTAATTTTCGTTACTCTATTTACTACTATGGTGTTTGTTCCGTTTGGATCAATGGCATAAACATTCACTGATATGGTATTTTTATTGATTTCTTCAAAGTGGTCTATATCTGAAAACGACGCTGGAAATTCAACATCATCCCAATTAATTATGCTATCCTTTAAGCTTCTATAATGATACATACATCCTGTCGGGGTGGTCCTTCTTCATTATCTCATAAAACTTTGCTTGAACACAATATTTGAAACAAAATTCGTCGTCATTCTTAATATTAATACAAGCCTTTTTATTTGCTAGCCACTTTGGTAGCTCAATATATTTACCTGCTCTTGTGGGGTTGTATCTGTCATAATGTATGGTGATCTTCTCAATCTTTTTTATTTGGTAACCCGACTTTTTTAGTTGTGAGTTCTCAATCTTTAGTTCTATATCAGATGCCATATTGTCTATTGTTGCTTTTAGTTCTTCATGGTTGTTAATCGTATAAATTCTACTAGGTATTCTGTGTATTTGTGGTTCTTCGTGCTCTGGGTGTCTAAAAGAAATATCTACATCTATTCTGATTTTCATATTGTTGTTTCTGTTTAAAAACTCTTTTAGTCTGGGTTCTTGGTATTTTAAATATGACAATCCCTTATATCCTTGCAGGTTAATACTAGTAATTGAATATGAGTTTGCATATCGTTTAAATGCGCTTCTCTCTTCTGTGATGTTGGCTTTCTGTGTGATAGCATATCTTTTTAAAGCTTTTCTCACTGCTATGCCTTTGGTGGCACGTTTTAAAATGTTGTATCTTTTGAACTCCTGTGTTTTGGCTATTTGTTCTAGTTTGTTTTTTAGTTTGGTGGCTATGGGCTTTTCCCTATAATAATAATAATATTCTCTGTCATTTATTATAACCTTCTTGTATGTTTATTCCCTTGCGTTTTAATGTTGCCCGTGCCACTGCTTAATACATAAACTAATAGATTTCGTAAATCCCCTTGCTCCATTTATCTATAAGTCGTTTTTTCTTTAAGTAGTTTTTTTGGGGTGGGGTTTGCATTGGCGTTTTGGATTTCTCGGGTTCTTGGTTGTTACATATCCCTTGGGTTGGTGTTTAAAGGTTCATCAGAATTGTATTTTTGATTTGGGTGTTTTTAGTTTTGTTTCTGTTTATGCTAATAGTGTTTGCTTCTGAAAATCAATGTTTCGTAAAGCTTGGGCCAGAACTTGAACCAAACGGCAACGGGGGCAAAGGGAACCAAAACCGTTTTTCTCGCACTGTTTGAGCCACTTAGTTTAGGGTGGGGCAACACCACACAACCACGACCCCAAAGCAACATAACTCAAGGAGTCTGAGGTCGTCTCGCAATGCTTTGTTTAAAGTGTTGGATTTCCTTTGCCCGCCTTCAGTTCTGAGATGCTCGGTCAACTCCCAGAGTCGACCCCCTTCCCTGTGCTTATACCTACACAGAGTATACAAACAGAACAACTTTTTTAAACGAATCCTAAACCTTATTCAAAACGACCAGCCCTTCCAAAAGTCGCCTGCAATGATGGGCACCTGGCGTGAACAAAAAGTTGTGGCCGGGAGGGGCTTAGGGTAGGGTTTGGGGCTGGGCCTTCAACATCGGATTTGATCCATTCCTGTTGTTTGGTTGCTGATACTTCTGCACATCGCTGGCAAACTGAACTTTTTGAATAGTATCCTTACATCCGATAATGGTTGAGGATGTGGCGCGAGCAGAATGACAAATTGGTGGCATCCCCTAGGTTGGATTGTGGCTTTTCGATAGGTTGTGGAAATTTAGGTTGTGGGGATACTTGGGCGGTGAAACCCCTACAGATTGGGGAGCGACATCCGGGAGACCAGAGAAGGGCTGTCATCTCTCCCTAAATTCCACATCGGATTTGTCTTTTCAATCCCTGGTTAGGGGGTGCGTCGCTTTTCTGCTTCATCTTGAAGAGATAAAGGTGACTTCGTCTGCCTCATCTGTCTGGTGGCGCCAGTCCTCGCGAAGCAGCAAGGGGTTCATCCTGGCACGCACCAGCCGGAACTTAGAACCATGGTCATCAGGGTTGGGTAGCTCCTGGTGTCTGCTGTGCGCCATTTTTGCCTTGACAAACAAGCTTCTCGCGTAAGGGTGCTTCTGCATCCGGATCGTCTTGCCATGTAGGTGTCCAAAGGTGAGCTCCTCATTGCTCCTGCTGTAGTAACTGTAGTAGCGATGCATGGGACAGGCTACCACGACCGTCCCATCCCTGTACTTGATGGTCTCATGTCGCAACTCATCGCTCACATATATGGTGAACTCCACGCCAAAATCACTCTGGTTGGCACGCATTAGTGACCAGCGTCTTGCCTGGTATGTTTTCTCGAGGTGTCCAAACAAAGGCAATCCGTTCTGTGGGTCGTCCTTGCCAAATCCGAGTTTTCGAGCAACATCTGCATCTTTTCGGGGGATGATGTGTTCACATACAGCAAAGCACCAGCGTTCAAAAGACACTGTTCCAAGCCCTCCATGGTCCATTTTGGCGAACAAAGACGAAAGCACACAGCAGACCAACGTATCATTCACAACGAATTGCGGATAGTAATCTTTGACTTGTTGGTGCCATGCGTTACTGGCATGAGTGGAAGAAGCGTCATCTTCTGCTACTGGCAATATTCTGTACTGATCTTCAAGGGCCCGCCTAAAAGTCCCCATGGCTTCCTCCAGTCCGTCGACTTTGGTCTCCAGTCCGTCGACTTTGGTCTGCAGTCCGTCGACTTTGGTCTCCAGTCGGGTCATTCGATTGAGCACTTCCTCCAGCTTTTGCAAAACACGATCATTAGCAGCATTATCAATATCCCCGGAAGCCATTTGTAGGGAGTGAAACAATCTTGCAGCAGGAGGCTCGTTCGAAGCCGAATGGCCACGCAAACTCCGACACATGGGTTGTGAGAGCATTCTCTTGCACAGCTTGAAGACATGCAAGTGGACAGCAATAATTCAACATGCCGGACTCACCAAGTTAGCTTGGTGAAGGTGTCCATCGCATCATGCCAGAACACCGTCAGTTCATTCAGCCAAAGAATCTCAACACCAACTTGAAAGCCAAACAGCACATACTCTTGAAGGATTCTTAAACTGCCAACACCATTGCCTCATAAGGTAATCTCTCTGACAGATTTCAGCAAAGCCTGATCTCCAAGATGCACACTATCTGCTTCCGTTGCAAATTGGTAAAGGCACATAGTGTAACCGTGAAGAACAAGTAGGAGACAGTGATAAAAAAACAACAAACGAAGCAGACACGACAACACACAACAACCCAAACCCTAGAATCCCCCTTTAAACAATTTTTTTCACCCCCCCCATAGGCACCAGGGCGCCAGGCTACAAACGCAGCGGTCATCGCCTCCTGCCTGGTTACTGCATCTTGCTGAAGCAGAGCCTTGAGCTCTGCTCCTGTCAACGTCAGCATGTCGCCCATCTCCTGGGCCGACATCGTTTGAACATCTTTAAGTAAATCTACTCTTGGCAACTGCTCGCAGAATGCGGGCTGCACCATGGCTGCAGCTGCAGCACGTCTGGCTTTGCAGCGCTTTTCATGGCGGCGACGTGTCACGCCAAATCCTGTCACGCCAAGAAGGCCAACATTATGGCCACAGTAGCTGCAAGCCGCCCGCATGCAAGGCTTCATCATCTTCAGGTCCACTATACTCAAATCTGCTTGGAGGTGCTTGGGCCCACCAACAATTCCTCGCCAATAACCAAGAGACAAGGGATCAGAATGGACGAGAGGCGAAAAGGCTGGAACTTACTCTGAAGACTTCCCCCTCAATAACATTTAAAACCTCTGGGTCTCGGCCCGAATTCGATTTGGTTTTGGGGCGCGGTTGCTTAATTTGATCTGGCTGTGTCCCTCTACTTCCTCTGCGGCAGCCTCGCCAATGCCTTCGTAGCCTGAAGCCCTCCAAATCCCTCATGCAAGGACCCCTACCAGCATTATGTCTATGTGGCTTGCTCACAAACAGCCCCATAACTGTCCCCAATTCTCTACAAACGAGTCAACCGGAAAAAGATCCGGCCGTCCGAAGCACCAGGTGAGCACGTCCTGCCGATGAGCTTCGAGCTTCGGTTTCGGTTCTTGGCAGTCTGACGAACATGTTTGGAAGCCTAAATCATTACCATTCATTGCCCATCTAATTTCTTAGGGTTCCTCATTCTAACTTTACCCTAGTACGTATGATTATTAAGGCTTATTAAGGCCCCTATGTAGCAGGTTTAGGGTTCAGGGCAGTGATTGGAGAAGCTCGGTCCAAATTGGGATGCGACAACTCCATGCTGCAAAGCCCGAGCTTCGGGTGGCTTTTGTGTGCGATTCACGGCTGCCACGAAGCAAACGCGAATAACGAAACAGCGCATGCATGCACATGCAGGTACGCGTGTGCGGCATTGTAGATATACGTACATTACATACATTGGAGTACATACATATGCCTGTATCTACACCGCCATTATGCCATTTTTCGTGTATGCATGCATAGGTGCTGACAGAACATGTACATACGAGTACATATACAAACGTATGCATACATAGATGCACCATCTTCCCCATCATCCTTACCACTGTCATCAACAACAACTGAGTGTGTGTATTGAGCTCAACCCACTCGCACTGACCGATGAGGGGCGCAAGATCGAGCCTCCCAAGCGATCTTCGCTTCGCGAGCGCTGGAGAGAACTGTCTTTGGCCCTGCCAGGCAGAACTCAAGGCCGGGCGTTCAGATCGGTTCAGGATGCCGGGTTCAAGCTTCGACTTCCTGAAGCATGCATGGTTGTCTCCACTTCCCGTGGAAGGCCGCTGTTGTCCTCCAAAATAGTCCCACACCACAGGTTACAAACGTGCCAGACAGCAAGTGTCTTAGGCGTGCAGGGAGGTCTTGGACTGTTGATGACTGCTGCTAAACGTCGAACCCTGAACCCCGACCCAACCCGAGTCCTCCGGCCTTGCAATGTGCTCCTCAATGCAGCGCATGTGGCCCTGTTGCAGCTGGCAATTGCAACTGCTGCCTAGTGGGAACTCTGCTGGTTTCTGTAGCCAGGACAAGCCCTCACCCCCAAGGCCCTAGGTTAGACGTAGCGTGGTCTCAGAATGCGACAGCGAAGCTTGGGCCGGCGAGGCCCTGAACTCAGGCGACCAGGGTACCTAAATCAACTTCAAGACACATGGAGCCCCGTTCCTTTGCTGGTATAGGTGCACTGTAACCGTAAACCTCCAAGCCCCTGGCTGAATTGCAAAAAATGAACAACTACCACAGCGAATGACATCACGTGAAGCCTGAGGGGGCGATGGTGCCTCTGGTAAGCTCACACGCAGACTTCAGGTGCAGGAGCATGTGGATCAGTGTATGTAGAAACCAAAAACCAATTCATGCACCATCATTATCATGAACCATCGTCACCATCACATCACATCACATCACATCACATCACATCATCATCATCATCGTCATCCTCATCGTCATCCTCATCATCATCATCATCAACAGCATCATCACAATCATCGTCATCACCATCGACATCAACGTCATCGTCATCATCATCATCATCAACAACAACAACATCGTCATCACCAGCATCATCAGCAGCATCAGCATCAGCATCAGCATCAGCAGCAGCATCATCAGCATCATCAACAGCTTCATCATCATCATCACCACCATCATCTGTAGTGCCACCATAACGGCCAGCTGCAAAACCGTCGCTGTCGTAGCAGCCATCACCATCATCACGAGAAGAATCACGCCCTTCAACATCATTTCAACACTACATCACTGACCAGCTGAACAAGCAGAGTCACGGCTTGGAAAGCGTATCGTTAGTGGTATATAATATACGAGAGCACCACGGTCTGGAGATATGCAGGGCTTCCGACTCAAAAGGCTTCGGGAACCGGTGTTGCTCCACAAGGCTTTATCGTGTTAGGGGATTCTGGTTGGGATATATTCGGAGCCTGCTAGGACTGAGGGCCAGGTTTCAGAGGTTGAGGTCACGTGAACTTGGAGCTGCAACTTAGACAAACGTCTCCAGGCGAGGCCGCAAGAAGGGCCGGTCACCTGCCAATTCTGCAGCATGTTGTGAACAAAATTGCGGTTCTGGGAATTGAAAGCTAAAAGGGGTTGGGATCCGGGGCGATCAGAGGAATAGATGGATTTGCGGGATCCTGCTTATGCAGTCCACGCCGGTGCGCCTGCAGGCTGCCTCCCGACGGCCTGGCCGGGGCAATCTTCTCTCACAGCTTTTTGGCTCACTGGCCGTTGTTGCCACGATGCGAGCAAGCAGCAAGGCATTTTCCAGCAAGACATATCCACAACCCCACATCCTCTGAGCCGGCTTTCGACATCCACCAAAACGGACCGAAACTGAGACTTCTCGACCAGCCTCGAGAATCCGTTCGTGCCTTGCCTGGGTGATGGGGGGCCACAAGTTCTTTGAGGCGGTTGGCACTTAGTGTTTCCCGCGCCAGGCTTGCGCCAGATCGGAAGCAAATGTGAGAGCTGCGTGACCGGGTCCCGGGGAGGATGCAGGCAATATCTGCTCCGACTCTCTGGGTGTTCTTGCTTGTTGACGCATATCATAATGACGTCGAATCCCAAAACACCGAAAGTAGCAACAGTGACCGGAGTGGTGACAGCGTGTTCGAGAACTCGGTCCGATGAAACTTGTTGTTATGCAGTTTCGGCTCACCAGCTAAGGCTAAGCTGAAGCTGCTGAAGCCAACGAAGAGAAACATGAAACATGCATGACTGGAGAGAGTTGCATCAAGCGATATCAACGTCATCACTATTGTTGTTGTCACCCTGCACCTCCTCATCTAGTCATTGCTAGTCATGTTGTAGACAATTGGTTTGATTCCTGCCGGTTGATTGCTTCCAAGGCACCCGTCTTTCGGCTGCATCGATGGCGGCATTTGCACTAGAAGCCTTGCAGGATGCAAGAAGTTTCTAGCTTTGGCTCCTCCGGGTTCATGCGAGACTCTGACCGAAGCGTGCAGCTGCTTCCAAGGACGGAGGTCTCATGAGGTCTCATGATCTCTGTCTGGTTATCTGGTTGAATGAAAAGCGGACCCCTGTAAAAGCTCACCTCGAACACATTGCGGTCCAACAGTATCGCCCGAAACCCGGGGTCTTCTGACATAAAGCCCAAACCCACAAACAAACACATCCTGAACCCCCAAACATCCCCAAACCCTGAATCATTGAACTCCTGAACCCGGAGACCCTAAACTCCTGAACCCTACAGTAAACCCCGAAACCTCTGCCAGCCGACGGACGCGCTCCGACTCTCGGCCAAAGGAAGCCGCTCCTGCAAACGGGCTTCTCCTTCCCCTACTCTCCGAAAGCCACGTGGCAGGAATTGAGACGTTTGCGCCGGCAGGAGACGGAGTAGCAGAATCTGCTGAAGTGCTGGAATTCTCTGAAAGCATGGTCATACATTCGGTGCAGTGAACACGAATAGGTGGACACCCCGCAAATAAAACACAAACATGAGCCAGCAACACAAACCAGACCACGGAGAGAATTGCATACTACAGATTTCGGCCATCTTGTCAGCTCGCAGTCTTTATCAAATGCTCCACAGAACGCTGGGTTCTTGAACCTGGGAGGAAGATTGGAAGTCCAAGAAGCCGCAAGGATGCGCCTGTGACCTCCTGCAGGCGAGCGTGCTGCCTGCAGGCGCAGCAGAAGTCTCTTGCCCTGCCTGGGTCACCATGCATGTCCGGCTATCGTAGCATGTAGCAGTACCGCGTGCTTACAAGCATGGGCGTAAATAGCGAAAAGGTGCATCTGTCAACAGTTTGCACGCCCCACAGGCATACTTACAACCACATGCATGTCTCTGGGCTTGGCTCTGCATGGGGATGAGACAAACGAGCAGAATGTACTGAGGCACTGACAATC